GCAGCCGGAGGAGGATGCCCGCGGCCTGGATGAGCTCGCAGCCCAGGATGCGCAGGTCCGTCTCGCTGGGCAGGTCCAGCCCGTCCTGCATGGACGGGGTGGGCGACAGCCGCTCCTCCGGGATCAGCGAGTGGTCGATGGTGAGCGACACCTCCGAGTAGAGGCGGTCGCCGATCAGAATCCCTCCCGTCGTCGTCGTCGTGGTCGCCGTGCCCGAGCTGGAGCCGCCCGCGCTCGGCGCGGCCGACGAGGCGGCGGCGGCGGCGGTGGAGGTCGGGTGAGGCCCGGACGCCATAGTCTCCGCGAGCTGCACGCACGCCCGACGCAGCCGGAACCCGAAACCAGACTAACCAGCGGCCCCGGCGCGGCGGAGAGCCCCGTGACGGCCTGCCGCCTCACGCCGCGTGCGCCTCCGCCGTGACGTCACCACGCCGGGTGGCGAGCCCTGGCCCCGCCCCGCGCGCCCGGCCCCGCCCTGCCCCTGTGGTCGCGAGGTTCAGGTCTGCGCATGCGCGTGGAGACGAGCTGGGCTCGGCGGGACCGCGGCTTCTTCGCCTCCTGCCGCTGTCCTTTGCGGCTGCCTGGCCTCCCCGGCTCGCGGGTGGCATCTGCGCCGTCTGCGGTCCCGCTGGCTTGTGGCCCCGGCGCCTCGCGGGGGACCGAACCAGAGGCCTGACCTGGTCCTCGGAAAGTAGGAATTGGGGGGACGTGTCCATCCAAGGAGCGGGGCGACTGCCCGGGTGTCCTCGTGACCCCTGTCCTGATCTGCACCGTGACCTCGGGGCCCCCGCCCGGGGCCTCCCCGTGACCCTTGTCCTGATCTGCACCGTGACCTCAGAGTCCCCCGCCCCGGGTCTCCCCGTGACCCCTGTCCTGATCTGTACCGTGACCTCGAGGGCCCCCCGCCCCGCCCGGGGCCTCCCCGTGACCCTTGTCCTGATCTGCACCGTGACCTCAGGGTCCCCTGCCCCGGGTCTCCCCGTGACCCCTGTCCTGATCTGCACCGTGACCTCGGGGGCCCCCCGCCCCGCCCGGGGCCTTCCCGGGGTCCCGCGCAGCCCTTCCGGTCGTCTGGAACATTCCCGGCAGTGAAGGCGGCCGGGCGGGCCGGGCTCTGCAGGCCCCAGGGACGGCGTCCTGCGCGGCGATCGCGCCCGCTTCCCAGAGCCCGCACGGTGCGCGGGGAGGCGGGGGGGGGGGGGAAGCGGCGAGCTACCGGCCCCCCTAGTCTACGCAGCGCGCGGTGGCTGGATTCCACCCGCCCAAGACGGGGACCGCGTCGCAGCCCGCCCCGCGGTGCTTCCCTGCGGGACGGTCAGCCGCCCGTGGACCTCCGGGCCCAGCTTAGGCCCTGTCCGGGTCCTGGACGAGCATTAGCGCAGACGAGCCACAGAGCAGCCTGGGCAGCGGTGCTGACCAGAAGCAAGCCGAAGGTGGGCGGGAGCCGGATGCACACCCCCCCCCCGCTCACCCCCCTCCCCGTTTGCTATCGGGGAGGTAGAAACCGCCCCTGGGAGACGTTCACCCCCTTTTTTTTCTGGACACCTGGCATGTTTTAATAACTCTGGTTACACCACCTTGTCGATCGGACAGAGAGAGCAAGTCGGCTCGGTTAAACGTGGGTCGTTATGACGTAGATGTATGGCCGCCCTTTAAACAGAAGGCGAAAACCCCCAAGTACCTGTCTTCTAGCAGGGCGCCGGTGGCTCACGCCTGTCATCCCCGCTACTCAGGAGGCTGAGATCTGAGGATCCCGGTTCAAAGCCAGCCCCGGGCAGGAAAGTCCGTGAGACTCTAATCTCCAGTGAACCTCCAGAAAAACAAGAGTGGTGCTGTGCCTCAAAATGGTAGTGTGGTAGCCTTAAGCAAAAACAGCTCTGGACAGTTCCCTGGCCCTGAGTTCAAACCCCAAGACTAACTCCCCCCCGCAAAAAAAAAGAAAGTCAGGTGTTTTGGCTCAGTTTCCACACACAACCTTCCTCCCTCCCTCGGGTTAAGCTGGCCTCAAACTTGAAATCTCCTGCCTCCGTCCTAGTTGTGCACTACCTGCCGAGTTTTTAATAACAATCCTAAATGTAAACTTTGTGTATTTAGCCAGTCACCACCCTCTCCAGCAAGCTAATTTGGGAGTTTGTAATAATTCATTTTATAGTCTGGGGTGTGGCTCAAGGGGTAGAGTAACTTCCTGAAGCAGAGTTCCAGCCTCTAAACCACACACACACACACACACGCAGTATTTTTCCTTTTTTTGTTGTTGTCATATATGTGGATCCTGGGGATTGAACTCACCGGGGCTTGGGAACCGCCCCAGGGCTTCTACTACGTAAGCCACGGCTCCACTTGCAGCCTTTCTTTGGGTGATGAAACGGAGATTCATTAGTGATTCCTTGGAGAGTCTCGGGGACTTTGCCTGCCTTGCTGGCTTCAAACTGTGCTCCTTAGATCTCCGCCTCCGGAGGATTGCCAGGCACCAGCCGCCGGCTGCAGGCTGTATTTTTACTTTGATTCAAGACCAGGTTCGATTTGTCTCGAGAAAACTTCAAAGGAGGAAAGATTGTCTGGCTCGGGGCTTCTTCCGGCCAGTGCCTCTTGACCAATTATTGGTCGGAGGGTGGAGCAGAGGCGGGACCAACTGCTCCCCTGACCGCCAGCCACGGGGGAGGAAGAGGCGGGCTCCCGGGAATGGAGATCCGCCCTTCCGGATGTCCCGCCCCCGTCAGTGCCGAGGCTCTTGCCCAGCCGCGGATTAACGTACTGGAGAGTTCAACGCCCTCGTGGTCCAGTTATGATCTCCCGGTAGTGCGAGGGGCGAGGCCTGCAGAGGACGCCGAATTCATTACCAACACAGCCCCTGGGGCGTTCCTTCCCCCCAGCACGCACAGTCACCGTCGGATCTCTGACCCCAGCCCTGTGTCCCGCCGACTGCTTCAGTACCACCACCATCACACACACACAGACCATCACACACACGCCATCACACACACACACACACCATCACACACACACACACCATCACACACACACACACCATCACACACACACACACCATCACACACACACCATCACACACACACCATCACACGTACCATCACACACATACACCATCACACAGACCATCACACACACCATCACACGCACCATCACACACACAATCACACACCATCACACACAATCACACACCATCACACACAATCACACACCATCACACACAATCACACACACGCCATCACATCACACACAATTACACACACCATCACACACACACCGTCACACACACACTTCCCGGGCACTGTCAGAACTTGGTACTCAGAGCCCACACCCGCCTTGCCTCCTGAGCACGTGGCTGTCTTCAGGCTCCCCTCCCTCCTCCGCTCCCCCCCCAGCTCCAACACAAAGCCAGGGCCTGAGCTTTTCCTTTTGTCCAGAACTGGGGCTGAAGCCCCGGGACCATGTCTCCAGGCCCCAGCTGCAGATCAGTACGTTCTCTGTGTGGAGTGCTCAAACTGTAGTGTTGGTTTCAATGTTCATCTCATTTTTACAAAAGAAAAAAAAATCATGACCAAAGGCCTTTAATCCTAGCAGTTCAGGCTGAGATCTGAAGACCATGGTTCAAAGCCAGTGCTGGCAGGAAGGTCCCAGAGATGCTTATCTCCAAATAGCCACCAGAAAACTGGAAGTGGTACTGTGGCTCAGGGTGGTAGAGCGCTAGCCTTCAGCACAAAGAGTTTAGAGACAATGCCCAGGCCCTGAGTTCAAGCCCCATGACTAACTAAACCAAAAACAAACTATGACTAATGCAGAGGATATACAAGGTAGTAAGGCCAACACCCTGTTCTACATGATTAACTTCAGGATTAAAACACAAAGCCCTGTCACTTTCAGGTTCAAATTCCAGATAATTCAAGTTTGGAAAACTTACATTTTTCTAAATCATTTTGAGGGAGTTATTTTCTCACGTTACTATTTTTTTTATTGTGAAAATACTGTACAGAGGGGTTACAATTACATGGGCAAGGTAATGAGTACATTTCTTATCAAGCATTGTTGCCTCCTCCTTTGTTTCCCCTCATGTTACTATTTCTTAAAAAAAAAAAACTGAAAGTAGAGCAGTGGCTCAAGTGGTAGAGAGCAGCCTTGAGCCAAAAAGCTAAGGGTCAGCACAAGGGCCTTGAGTGCGAGCCCTAGTACCTACACATAAAAGAAAAGACATATGAGGGCTGGGAAGGTGACTCAGTGGTAGAGCGCTTGCCTTGCATGCATGAGGCCCTGGGTTCAATTCCTCAGCACCACATAAGCAGAAAAAGCTGGAAGTGGCACTGTGGCTCAAGTGGTAGAGCACTAGCCTTGAGCTGAAGAGCTGAGGCACAGCACCCAGGCCCAGAGTTCAGGCCCCACCACCAGCAAAACAAAAAACAAAAAAAGACATATGAGATATACATCATACATATAATAAATGTAATATATATATATATATATATATATATATATATCAATGTGTGTTGCATTTTTTTAAGCAAAGATCCTGGTAGTATTAGCCCCTAGTTCATACATGGGTAAAAGGAAATCCAGTGATAAGTAACTCTATTTTTACTGTTTGAAGATAGCAGGCTTCAGATAACTGGAGAGAGCAAGGCCTTTTCCAGGCCTCTGAAGTGTCATATCCCTGATAATTAAATCCTCCTCCTCCTGGGAGACCTCTGCCTCTCCTGGAAGTGTGCTTCTCATTATTATTTAAACTCAGGGTTTTATATCTGCAGTCAAAATTGGAATACTTCCATTTCATTCCTTTAGTCATCAGTAATTCACCATTAGACCGCAGGAATCTAATAGCCATGCCACAGAAATTTAGCCAAATAAAATGTCTCTACCTAGAGGAAGTGAACTCCCCGTGGAGAAAGAGGTTCCCACACAGGCAGTGTTAGGATGACTAAAGCCAAAACACTGGCAGGGGAAATTCATCATCGTGATGGGTGATGCCAGGGAGAAGGTGGAACCTGACCTTGCCAGTCAGAGTTCTCTGAGCACAGGAACAAGCTTAGGGTCTCTGCCTGTGAACAATCCATGAAGCTAAATGAGGTTTTGTTTTGTCCTGTGGCCATTCTGTGGCCACACAGATCCTGGTCACATCAGCAATCATCCCTGCAAGTGTCTGATTTCACCCTTGGGTGTGTACTGCTCAGTAAATCACTGGCTGGGGATTCCACTGCTGTCTCTGCTAAGAACTGGTCCCGCCATGGCTCGCTATCTTCAAGACGAAGTCAGGCTGGGCCCTTTGCAGGTTTAAAATTCTTGGACTCTAGGAAGTGGAGCTGTGGCTCACCTGGT